TCGCTGCAACCCCGGCCCGGTGCTTGCACCTCCGGGTGCCTGACTCCCTTTAAAAAACCTGAGCATGCGATAGTGACTGTACTGTGTAAAAATAAAATGGTTTCCTTGTAGGCTGCGCTTGGTGCCACGTTAACCATTTCTGCATAGGAAGGTTTCCCCCGCAGAAGTCGTAAATGCTTCCCCTGTAGCTGGCAGAAAAAGCTGTGTGGAGCCTTGCACTGCCTTCATAGCTGTCAGCGCTGTTTATTGCTGCGTAACAGGCCTGTGCCTGTAAATGACCCTTGCTAATACCGTGACAGCTCTTTTATGTGCGTTGTGGATCAAAGAGACTGCAGAGGCTGTGTAAGAAACGTTGAGGAAAAGGTAACATCCCCATTTTCTGAATGCAGTTCAGACCCGGTGGAAGGAGGCGTGCCATCAGCTGGCTAAATAAGGTGTACAAAGGCACTTGGAATAGGGTTGCAGTGGGATTTCCTGGGTCCCGTGTCATTCTGCAGACAGCATCCTCTTGGCATTTTTGTACGTAAACTAAGTAAACAGATTATGGAATCGGTAATAGATGCTGTACAGATTTTGGGGAGGAGAGTGATTTCACAGTTAAACGCTGGGAGAGCAGCTGCTGTACGGATGTCTCACAGAAGTGGTACGGTTTGGACCCTATAAGGAGGAGAAATACCCAGTCTATGGAAACGTGCTGCAAGCCTGTTTTGGAAAATGGAGGCTTTTCTAAATAAGATTGCCATGTTAGAAACTTGGCTACCGTGGCATGAGCGGGAGCGCCTTTGCGCTCTGCTGATTCAAATCTGTGTCTGACTCAGATTTTCATAACCTCTACAGTCAGCAGTGATTTGCTGGTTTCCTGGAAGCATCTTTTTATGGAAGAGACTTTTGCTTTTGTTCCTCGGTTATATCATCAGAAGTGTTTTGTCTCGCTGGCCATTAGCAAGCTATTGTCACATACAGCATATTATCCAAAGCTGTGCGGGAAATTGTCCTCTCTCCTCAGCTCCTTCTTTCTTTATATAGAGCCTGAAGGCTTTGTTCTAGTGTTTTGAAAATGACATCAGCTATTTATCTTCACCTGCATTTGCACTGGTATCATCTGCACATCATCATCTGCTAAGGCTTTGATCCAGTGTTCTGTTTTCTTACTGTAACTGTTTAACAGTGTCTGGTAATGCAATGCAAAGTACACACAAATAGAGTCCCTGTATATATATAAGGAGATATATATGTCATATATATATATAAAAGGATATACTGTACAAATTAATCCTGGATCACTACATGTAGGCAACAAGCCTTTTCTCTGATTGAAAACAGAAGAAAGGGACCTTCTGGCTAAAGAGGGAGGCTCATCGCATGTGCATTGAATCAGTCCCAGTTTAATCACCTTGAGCAGCACCTTCGTTGTTACTGAGCCTGTCTCGTGACTGATTCCAAAGTGTGGCTGTGATTCCCTCCACGTGGTTTTGTTGGGAGAGCTCAGGTTCTTTGGGCAAAGTGTGAATACTGAGGCCTTTCTATGAGTAGCTCGGCCTGAAATCTGGAGGAAATAATCTCTTTCTGTCTCTGTAAGTCAAGGACTTTCACAGGACTTCGCACGGTCCTCATTTGGAAAACTGGATGTGGAGCAGGTCCTTTCCCTGAGCCTGAGCCTAGGGCTGACTTCTCAGGAGGAGGTGTGAGAACCCTCTGCTTCCATGCTCACACAGGGAGCAACTCCAGGATCCTTTTTCAGATAAATCTCCGTGTCTTTGCTGCCTATGCTTTTCTTCCTAGTCTTTACGTTACCAGTACTTCAACAGGAACTCTTACATAGAACTCTGCGGCTGTTGTTCAAATGTTTGAGCATTTGAGTCACAAGTTTTGCTTTTTGTCAGTGCATTAATGAAGGCTTTGGTGAAACATCTTTGGTCATTGAGTCCAACCCCCACGCCTGAACTAAATTGTTTCTCATGCAGTACGAAGACTGAGGAAGGAATGTTGTTTCCAGGGTTGTTTTTTTAAGATGGGTACCTAAGACTTAAGTGTAGTTCTGTATCCCCTTATATAGATCTTTCAATGTACTTTACAAATCAGGAGTGTTCTCACAGCCATCATATAGGTGGGGGGGGGAAGACTTCTAGCTCTTGGATGGTTAGCCCAATATACCCAACATACATTTGCTACAAATTATGTAGCTATAAAGAAAAAACCTGAACTGCAGATGACTTTGAATCCTTATGTCCATTTCCTGATCAGTGTTTGTGGCCTCTCTAAATGCTGCCTTGCTTAACTAAATGCTGGCTTGGTTAACTCAAGTCTCAGAAGGCTGAGCTAGCTAATGTCTGCTGCCAGTATTGTATTTAACTTGTTTGCTTTCATTTAATATGCAAGTTTGGCACTCAGTTAAAAATAGCAGCTAGAATGTTGGGGGGAACAGAACAGAACAAAACAAAATGGTTTAAGAGAGTCAACCAAAATGGAGCATATTTTTGCTGTGAAGGCTTTTTGGGATTTTCATGCCTTTTCATCACTCTCCCTCATTTTTATCTTCCTTATTCTTTACAGAAGGATGAGTAAGTTTTCATTCTGAAAAGCTCAAGGTGCCCAGTAAGGCAGTAGGAGCGAGGACCGGAATTGCAAGGACGTCTTGCAGGAAATGGCATCCCCTGCATTCAGTAAGGTGAATAAAGCCATTCATTTTGCTATACTTTTGAGTTATTAGTACGATTGCACATAATGTCAAAGTCTGTCTGTGGAGGGATTGACTTAACATTTATGGTTATAGTATATAAGCTCCTGCCTGCACTTTTCTTCCATAAAGGTTTGTTTTTTTTTTTCCCCGCTTCTCACGCTGTTGTCCAGGAAGCTATACGTTATTAACTGACTTCTGGTTACTAATAGGTAGTAGGACAGGAGACGTGGATGGAAATCCTTCTTCCTGAGAACTCATTGAAGGATCTGGCTAAAACTGAAGCGTCTGTGTAAGAGGTTACGGAACAAATAGACATCAGGCAGGAACAAGTCGCTGAACTAAACGAAGCCCCAGGGACAGTACTGCTAACGATAGTCTCCCCCTTCTCACTGAAAGCTGATACCTGTGGATTGGAGAGCAGCAAATGGGTTGATACTTTTTAAAGAGGGTCCTAGGGGAAATCCGTGGGCTGCAGACCAGGAAGTTTGACCACTACTAACTGAATTAGTAGAAAATATAGCAAGGTAGAATTATTGGACACCTGCATAAATATTACATAGTGAGGAAGTGCCAGTGTGGCTTTTGTGATGGAAAGTCATGCCTTAAAAAAATGCTGGAATTCTCTGAAGGTCTAGATAAGCATGGTGAGGGGTCTGGCTTGCAGTCTGTACTCCGATTTCAGGAAGCTTTTAAACAGGAGCCCTCACCTGAGCAGCCTCTGACATAATAAGGGAGTTCCCTGCCATAAATAAACAGTCGGTCGCAGAGATAGGAAAGAGGATGTGAGTAAACGGGCCCTCATGGTGGCTGGAGGTCACCACTGAGTGCCGCAGGGATGTTTTGTAAATGACCTGGAAAAACAATGTTTCCAGCTGGCTTTACATTATTTGAGGTGGTAAAGAAGAGGGCTGATGGTGATGAATTGCAAAGGTAAACTGATTCATGTGGGTGGGGAGCAGTCCTAATTTCACACACAAAATGAGTGAGTTTTTGGAGCCATAATGACTAATTCAGTGAAGCTTTCTTCTAAAGTCTCAGTTTGGATAGTTTTACACAGGCTCGAGCCATAATGACTAATTCAGTGAAGCTTTCTTCATCAGTAAAGTCTCAGTTTGGATAGTTTTACACAGGCTTAGGGAAGACTGCGTAAGCTCACAGTTATTAAGTATGCAGAAGCTGTGCCTGGCTCAGAAAGTTCCAGTCTAGAGACACGGAGGATGTGTGGAAAAGCACTGTGTGCTTATTCTGTTCTTCCCTAGGTCTCTGCTTTTGATCTGTGCTGGAGAGCAGGATACAGGGAGACATGTCCTTTGGTCTGACCCAGCATTGACAGCTCATATATTCCCACATAAAATCCATACAACTGGGAATTTGTGTGAGGAATTGTCTCTCCAGCAGTGGCAATGTGTTCTTATGTACACTGCTTCATCACGCTATCAGAAAAATATATGTGCATGAGGAAAACTTTGCAGCTGCAGGTATCTGGACCTGTGAGCCAAAACTACATGCAAATTACTGGTAGGTTTGGGTTTTGTTTTTTTTTACCTCCTTTTGGTGAAAGCTCATTAGGTAGATGAGGAAATGCCTGCAAATGCAGTCTTATTAGAAGGATTGAAGAAGCCTGTGTAGACTCAGTTGTGCCTTGACTACAGGCTGTATCTGCCACTGAGCTGTATTTTACACAGATTTTCAGTGTCTTTCCGATTCTGACTTGCAGGGTCCCTAAACACGTGCCTGAGACTAGCCCAGCAGCCCTCAACGCTTTAGGCACTTGTGCAGACTTACTCAGCTCTTGATCTTCCTTCCTGACTTCCACACTTTTTTTGGGCATGTGTACGCACATGTGCTTAACAACTTGTAGTTAGTTTGGTTACAACAGGATTAGCAAAAAGCAATTAAACCCACAGATGATTCTTATTTGAGGCACAGAAGTAGAATTTGTTTACTATACAAGCAAGAAAATCTAGATAGAAATGAAGAGTTGCAGAATTTGCCTGGAGACTTACATGTGAAGAGATGGTGTCTCTTACTTCCCAAACACACACAGCTTGGGTACTTGTCATGTACTGTCTTCTACAGTGTGCTTTTTCACAGGCAAGAAGGGATTTGTATATGCAAACAGCATCCTTAAAAAAAGATACAAGAAATTATGTGTTACATCATATCAAATGATGGGGTTTTTTTCTACAAGAAAGTGTAGATAGGCTTTGAGGCAGAGAGCTTTGTGTTTCATATCTTGGTATGAACACGCAGGGAGACTGGGGGGTTTCTGAGATGGCATTGCAGTCCCCTCGTTCTGCATTTTTGCTTTTAATTTTCATATGCGACCCATTTCTCATGACTATAAGGCACTATCCTACTGCTATTTCTAACGAGAGTTGAAAGTGCAGAGATCTGTGTAGGATCAGCCCATAGCAATGAAATTACAAGTGCCCTAAGGCTGCCGGTACAACATTTACATGAGAGCACTTGCAGCTTTTAAGAATTACTTAATTGGAAAGGCAATAGGTGCCGGGCAACTCAGATCCTGTTTCTGATGTCACATTCCATAAGAGCACAAATTACCGAATGAGTTAATGCTCCACTCAAATTGGCCATGTTTTCAGCGTGTCATTATGTATGGCCGATGAACTGGAAGTTCTAGTTAATAGTGTCGGAGAAGTCGGGAGGTACTGTCTTCAGTGTGAAGCATTCCCTCGACTGAGCCTTTTACAGGGTCAGTCTGATACGGGGAAGTGTTCCTCCTCCGTCCCTTCCTTCCTTTTTCCTATTCGCGCCCTTTCTCCTAGGCAGGACTCCCATTTGCGAAGGCCAGCAGGCAACTGTGTCTGAGGCAGGCTGGTGATGTCTGCCAAAATTTTTAAGAATTCCCACCAGGTGAAAGCTGCAGTTCAGTGCAGAATACCTGGCACGGAGCTGGCCCTTCTATTGCAAGTCTCTGACATCGCTGAATTATTGCAATAAAGAATGAGGTGTTTAGAAAAAAAAAAAAAAAAAAATATCCCACCTCCCTCCCCGCCATGCCAAAGTGATTTTTTTTTTTTTTTTTGCGGCCTATTTTTATATGTTTGTGTCTGGATTTTTCTGAAGTGAAATGTAACACTGCTGGGGAATTGGCACTGGTGATCCAGTGCATAGCAATGCCGAATTTGTTTCAGTGTAGTTCAAGGATACTACTGCTGGTGGCTCTTGCTTTGTGAGAAACATCAGAGCAAGATAAAGATTGCGTTTGATGGTGAAGGTTTTTGTAGTCATTTTTAAAAGCTGATGATCTGGTGAAAAATGAGTGGCAACAGCTATTTAATTATGTATATACTTCCCTTACAGGTTCAGCTGTATATAGGATTCTTTCTCTGTTTCCAGTTACATATGATGTTGAACCTTTGCTTCTTTCCCTTATATCTACATGTGGTTGAGTTTCAGAGCTGATGAGGCATCTTCTAAAACCTGGTGTCTTTGCATTATCTTCTAAGAATACTTTTTCGAGGCAGACACTTTTCAAATTTAGTACCAATGGAGGAATTTTAAAAGTTTGGTTTCAGCTTTTTGTGTATTCTGGATAGGAAAAGTGCATTGCCCACTGTTTTCATAGCTTTTTGTCTAAAAAAGGCTAAAGAGCATCACCAGCAGTGCCCCAGCGGGGAGATGGTCTTCTGCTAGGCCAACAGAAAACTGCAAATTGTTGTTGAGTTTGAGCTGGTGATACACTGTTGGCATCATGATCTCCAGCTCCAAAATCTCTCAGCCTATTTCAAAGTGCTTTACACAGTGAGTAAGTAAGTTTGTTCCTGTTCAACAGGTATAAGGACTGCGGCACAGAAAAAGGAACATAAACTTTTTGAAGAAGCATAGTACATCGGTGACAAACCTAGAAGGAACAGTCTCAGGTTACGTAGTTGCCTCGAATACATACTGTGGACTGGAACAGACTGCTCTTCCTCTTTCTGGTAGGTTGAATTTAAAGCTTATTTTGTGGCGATTCTACCACAAACACTTCTAAGGCACGATAAACAAGTTTGTCATTGTGACCGTAAATAGGGCATCTCCCAATTGAAACATTCTGTGTCCTGTGGAGTTTTAGATTCTGATCCGGTTACATTACTGTTTCGAATGATTGATACATGACTTCGGTGGACTTTCTGCGTCAGCACAATTTTTGAGGTGGTTGTTTTTCCTCTTTTGTTTCTACCTGCTTAACAGATTATGTTAGTTTGAGGTAAAAAGTCTGTAGGACCGGTTCATCTTTGTTTTCAATTTTTGAATTTCCTAACAGTTAGCAAACTTCTTTTGAAAGTTCTGCTAAGTGGACCAGAGTTGCTTTTGACATGTGGTCCTTAAAAGATGAATGCTTAAACTGCAGTTTTCTATCTGCTTATCAGCAGAGCCCAATATTTGCCTAGCCTGCTGCAGACGCAGCTAAATCTGCTGTCACCTGCTTCTGTAGTTTGCCTAGGTTGTCCGATTAGTTACAGCTTTCAGATTCATTGTTGTGAGAGTTTGTGGAAATGAGGTACTTCTAAATAAGCTTTCTATTCCTAATTATGCTTATATCCATTTTCTAGAACTATGCCAAGAAAAAGAAAGCTGTTGGCTCAATTAAGTGCTCTCCAAAGCCACTCCAGCTTCCCTCCTTTAGATGTCCTGGAGAACCTGAATGCTACGTCTGATGGGGATTCTTCTCCAAAAAGCAGCAAATATTTTGTGATAGAGAAAAAAAATTCTTCCCAGCTAGAAGCAGATTTTTTCAACCAGCCCTGTATTAGTCTGGCCAAGTCCTTTCTGGGACAGGTAAGACATGAACACTGAGATTACTGTACGGGAGCATGTGGTAGCTAATAACTTGGTATAAAAGGATGAAATTCTTTTTTTGCCATTTGACTCCAGGGCTTTGCTATTTTAGGAATACAGCTCTCATTCCTTCTCTTGTTAAGTTCAGTGGAATTTGAAGACTAGTAGCCAAATCTATTTTGGATGAAGTCAGAGGAGTAATTTTGGGGGTTTAGTTTACTGTCGCATTTCAGAATTAGTTTTTTTGTGGAATTTTTCTCCCTTTTTTCTGGTTTACTGAAATGTACTTTGCTGTTCATGGTTTGAAGGTTGTTTCAGGCCCATTATTTTCCTTTCAGGTGTTCCTTTATTTGTTCTTGGCTCTTGCTTAGCCCAGTGGAAAGTAACGCTCTGCAGTCAGCAACATCTCCTTCTCTGCCTCCATTTTACTGTCTCGTGATGCATGGCAGGTCCTTGGCCTTTCTTGAACAGGATCCACTGTCACGGTGTACTCGAACATTTTGTTCTTACCTTGCAAGTTCAGCAGACTGCTCGGTACTTTCTTTTATGCTGCCCTGTATGCTTTGAACATTGTCTCTCATGCTACCTGCTTTTATTTTTGCTGTTGTGAATATCTCGATATTGGCAGCAGACATGGTGTATATACAGTACATATACATACACAGTACACGTGTACTCTGACGATCACCCTTCTGAGGTTATTGACACAAATACGCAAGGCAGCACAGGCCTTAGTGTGCAGACATTTAGGACTCCACAGTTAAATTCTCTTCACTCTGAAAACTGCAATTTCCTACCTTTTTGTTTCTGAGTTTTCAAGCCATTACTTGTTCGTGAAAGGACCTTCTCTCTTATCCCATTGCAGAAACTTTGAGGAATCTTTGGACCTTGTTGAAAACCTTTAGAAATCGGAGCAAGGGAGATAAAACCTCTCTTCTGCTTAGTGAGACCTTCAAAAAAACTCTCCCGCTGTTTCCATGGGAAGACTGGAAAAGTGTTTCCTCCAGTGTTTTCCTTTTAAAAAGTACCAGTCTGGGACCTCCTAAAGACAATTGCAAAATGTGTTTTTAGTTTCACTGCTATGGTCTTATCTTCTCTGAGTCTTTTTTATACCTTTATTGTCTGTAGGGTGAACAGACTCTCTGGGTTCTCATTAGTTTAGATAAGTTTAGGAATTTGTTCCACAAACTGTTGGTTTTGGCCTGGCTTGCTGTGTCTAGCTTTTTTTTTTATTTTCTAAGGATATCGTCTTGCTTGTAATTGACGCCTCTGCTCTGCTTTTTAACCCTGCTGGGGTTTTTCTGGTCTGTCTTAACCTCTCTGCGATTCCTCATGTGTGTTTGCTATCTTCATAGACATCCTGCTAGAGGCTTGCCTTTCCCGCTTTAACCTTTGGCTGCCTCTTTTAAGTTCTTTCTAACAAGCTTCCTTGCTTTATGTAGTTTCCCCTTTTTGCTGGTAAGCAGAACTCTGAGAGATTATTTTTGGACCTTAATGCTTGTGGAAGGACACTGAACTTTATGCTTCACGGTCATGATACAAAGTTGGTTTTCAGGGCTAAGTCTTTGGAAAAGACTTTGCATTTTGCTCTGGATCACTTTGAGAGTTTAGTCTTTTCTTATAAGATCCCCAATTACTCACTCAGCAAAGAATCTGATGGTGTCTAAACAAAATATAGCCTGTGTCCTTGTCCTACTGTGATATTTACTTGGCCTATATGAGGATACCTGAAGTCTCCCAGTACCGATGCTTTTTTTTTTTTTTTGTCTTAATGATGCCAACATCCTTACACATTCAGTTACCTTGGGCAGATGATATTTTAATCTAATTCTACACTTCCCCTATTTAGGCCTAGAATTACAAGCCAGGCAATTTCTAGGTAAATTTTAGATTTTCTTTAAAGGATAACCCCAAGTCTCCCATGACCCAGTCTATTCTCTCATTTTCTTAGAATTATAATTGTAATTTAATGTTTCATTCGCTATCTTCATTCTACCAAACTTTGGAGGTGCCTGGTGTATCAGTATTGTTTACCTTAAATGTGATACTGGAGTTCTTAGAAACAAAACAATACCCCAGAACATACACGCAATAAATGGCCTCTCAGAATGGCCTGTCATAACACTGAGATACATCCTCAGTGAGAAATAAAAACCTCTATAAAATAGTTTACTGTGAGGTATTGTGAATGATCTCCATTTTTAAACTGTTTAACTGCAAATACCTGGTGTGTCTGAAGAGTCAGGGAAACGCCTGCGTGCTTTTAAAATCATAACCTAACCATTGCATTTCATCGTATTGGAAGAGAAATGTGGCCACATGGGTGTGCTTTTGGGGTGTTTACAGGCAGTTGCTAAACACCAGTGCTTTTCTGAAGCCACTGCATTTTTCTTAAACGTCATAAACTGATTGTTTTCAACAATTTGAGAAGTGCTGCAGGGAAACCTTGATATACCAGAGTTGCAACATTGGAAGCCGACTGCTGGAGCATCCATACTGGAGCAGGTCAATAACTGCATTAGCAATTCAGCACAAACATCTGTTAGGAATTAAGCTTTTGTTTCTTGAGGGTCATTTTTGAATGTCTGGTTTTCAAATATGCAAGCACTGAATATAGCATAATTAAACTGATAGCTGTTGCCTAAATGAGACTATACTGCAGGATTTCTTAAACACACATTAAGTAAAATAAGAAGTTTAGAAATCAGGTCAAACCACCACAAAAAAAAAAACTTTGTACAAAATGTAGTGGTCGTTTTTAAAGATGATCTTTTCACTGTCATGGTTTTTCCCCCACATCTGCTTTGTTTTATTTAAGGAGGTACCAGCAGCAGGGAACGCACTGTAGTAACAAAGATCTGTTGTTGTCTGCCTGAAGCCAATTCCCAGCTCTCCTGCACTGCCCCTCTCTGTGGTGCAGAAAATACAGGAATAGCATTGATACTCACTCTGGTCACGATTGTCTCCGTGGTTAGGGACTAGGACTTGCTTGAAACATCTCTATGGACATAGACTATCTAATCGTAGGAGTTACTTAATTGTGCCACTGTCGTATTTCTTCTGATGTAAAGAATATACATGCATGATGCTTTGAGGCAGATATTGGTGGTGCTTTTTGCCTTAAACCTGGTGGATTGGGGCGGTGAATGCAGAATAATAACCGCAAAAGCAGCTCTGTGGGCTTTATTGTATATCGGATCATAAATTGGTTCTTGGTGGTACTGCCACAGCTAGACACATTTTGTGGGGCGAATGGCAGGTAGGAACTTGTACTGGGCTGTGGCCTGGACAGTAGAAGCTGAAAAAGTTCACGTTAGCTTACAGACTGGACTGCTAGACAGAGAGGAGAGTAGGTAGTACCATCAGGTCCTTTTCTCTGACTTGTTTCCACAGCTCTCGCCCTCTCGCTATTTTGTACAGCGGGTTGCTAGCTGATGCACTCTGACCTCTCTTTCAGATTTTAGTTCGCAGACTTCCTGATGGCAGAGAACTCTGGGGGAGGATCGTTGAAACAGAAGCTTATCTGGGTGGGGAAGATGAAGCTTCCCACTCGAAAGGTGGGAAGCAAACTCAACGCAACGCAGCAATGTTCATGAAACCAGGAACTCTGTACGTCTACCAGATCTATGGGATTTATTTCTGCGTGAATGTTTCCAGCCAAGGTAAGCTGAGGCTGAACGAGTTTTAATGCCTGCAGCATGGTGGCCCCCCTGGGGTTTTGGTCCCAGCTGTGAGCTGTATGAGCTGTTTAGGCACAGAAATAAAGATGAAGGACTGGAGGAGAATCTTGATAGGATAGAGCTTTCAGTTTTGATGACCTGCGCTGGTGCCTTATTTGTGTGATTCAGTGAACTTTGTTCCTTGAAAAGTGGTGATGTAGAAGTAAATTTGCAGGTTAACGACGGCCTCAATCTTGGTGTCTGTTGTCACGACAAGAAACTCTTCTGTCTCCTACCTTTATCTTCAGAAGCTGTAAATGGGGAAAACAAAAAGGTCTGAGATGTCCTAAACTTAAGCAAGGAGTCCCTGCAGGAGCGTTTTAGCTGCTGTGCTGTATCTTAAAATCAAAAAAAAAAAACCAACACCAAATCAAAATACCCAGACTGCTACAGAATCTTCAATCTTCTTTTATTATTCTCAAGATAATATAATCAACCCCTAATCAAATGATTCTGGAATTCACCGAGACTCTCCTTCCACAGCTCTTCTTAACATGCAAGCATTACTTCTAAAACCTGGGGGTTTTCTCTCCTGCATGAATGACAGTGTTTGCCTTGCAATTAAGCTATTGGTTAATTAGGCACCTTGAAATGGCACCAGGTATTTCATAGATAAATACTCATTTGTTAGAAAAAAAAATCTCAAAAATAATTTCTTTTTTGCCATTTCAAAGATATAGCTTAAAAAAAAAAAAACCACCGCTTGTGTATTCCTAAGTGGAAAGCAGATGTTGTAACAGTGACCATTAATCCTCAGGTTTTGGCCTTTGGACAGGAGCCAAGCAGAAAACCAGTGCCAGGTTCTGCTGCGGGGGAAGAGCCTGTCTGTCTAGCTGGAGGTCTGGAGCCTGGTGGATGAACACATGCGAATTTCATTATGTTGCCTCTGTCAAATCTGTTTAGATAATGAAAGCAGGATGGTTCTTTATTCAGGATGGGATTCTTAGTGTTTGAAATATCAGGAATAATAATTTTTAGTAAAAAAGATGATGCTTAGCCTTTGAATTCTAGAAAGACTTCTTTAAAATTTTCCCTTATATACCTGTGTTTAGTTTTGTAGCAAATCAGTTAAAGAGCTCGCTGTTGTGAGGGACTTAGTCGGATTTTTTGTTACAGGCTTACTCCCCGTTAGCCTGTCGTACCTGCAGCTATGCGGGCCCCAAGCACAGCTGCCACCACCAGCTTTGTCAGGAAGGCACTGAAGTAAATAGCGTGGCTGTGCACGTTGTGTATCGCAGCTGCAGCTGCGTAAGTAGGATTTACTCCTTCGGTGTATTTGCTCACGCGCAGATGTGTTGAAAGGAAGGATTTGAGGACGAATCGTACCTGAGATGCTTTTCCCATCTTGTAACAGATGGAGAAGCCTGTCCTGTCGTTTAGTCTGAGGGAAGGATTGAGGAATTTCTCTTTCATGGTGGCACTTGTGCACCTGGGTAGAAGGCAGATACATTTTATTTTCTGGATATGGGACAGATCTTGGAAACTTTGTTTTGAATCTCGCTGTGGCTGTGCATGAAACACAAGGAAACACTGACAAAAAAAAAAAAAAAAAGTCTGTTGTGGCATAGCTTGGTCCCTCTTAGTAGCTTATGCTCACAGCATGAACTTCTGATGATTACGTACAGTTTCATCATCTTTGTGCAGGGAATATGATGCAAAATATCTGAGTACTTCAGGGTCTCCCTGGGAATGCTGCGAAAACCTGAGTGACTTGACCAGGAGACTGTAAAAGGAACATGAACATATTTCTGAAGGTGTCGCTTGGGAAAACTGAACACAAATTACTGAGAACACTAAATGCTTTTTCCTTTCAAAGGGGCACATCTCCAGTGACGTCCCAGAGCTGCATCGGTATTTTCCTGGATTTTGGCAGCGCAAAGCTGCAGAGCACCAGGAGTTTAACAGTGGAGACCATGGGGTGGCTGCATCTATTCCCATATATCATCTTTTGTCTCCTGTGATCTGGCATCTTTCATATCCCCTCCTCAGCTGCCTTCCAAGCTGATGGTTTCTAGTCTACTTAGTTATTCCTTCCTTAGGCTTTTGCTCCAAAGCTAGTCCATAATGTTGATCGTCCTGGTTGCCTGTCCCTGAATCTCTTCCAGTTTTGTTACATCTTCCTGTAGATGGAGGGGAGGAGCAGGACAAGTCTAGACGTGCACACAGATCTCAGGACAGCAGAGCAACTTGTTTAATGTGAGTGGTTGGGGTTTACATCTGGGAATACTGTATGGCATTGCTGCAGCAAATTGGAGCAGCGGAGAAGGGGAAAGGTCTTTGGGGGCTCCCCTGGTGTTTTCAAGCACGCACAAATTGACCTCATCTTAAGCCATTTCAATTTTGACCTGGATGCATGTTAGCAAAGTTTATACCGAATGACATGAGAATTAGGGGAAAACCTGAGGTTGATTTCAGGAGAAATCAGTTCTAGAGATTTTTCAAATGACTCTCGAAAGATGTTTCTGTTTGGCCATCAAAATACTCATGCAGTCATACGGTGATTTTTAACAAAGCATTTCTTTCTGGAGGCTGTTGGAACGAGCATATAGATTTACCTGAGAGCTAGCATGGTTTTAGGTGGTTTATTAAAGTTAGCAGAAACTCATAATCAGAAACGAATTCTTAGCTGGCTTAAATGAAATGATCTAGTTCTGTGGTGTAGGCAAGTCCTTGTGCTGCTTAAATTACAGGATCCCTGTGAGAGGAAGGCGAGCGG